CCGTGGCTGGGTGTCCTGTACCTGCCTGTCACACCCACGGGACAGGTGTGTCCCGGGACATCTGCCCAGACTGAGCCCAAACACAACCCCACCAGCACGGAAGACACTTCCCAGAGTTTCTGGAAGAGTCTAAGGCTGGAAAGTGTCCCTGCCACCCACAAGTAAGCCCGTTCCACACACTTGGGGCTCTTTCTGTTTATTATTTTATTTTTTTGCCAGTACTGGGGCCTGGACTAAGTGCCTGGGCACTGTCCCTGAGCCTCTTTTGCTCAAGGCTAGCACTCGACCACTTAAGCCACAGCACCACTTCTGGCTTCTTCTGTTTATGTGGTGCTGAGGGGTTCATGCATGCTAGGGAAGCACTCTACCACTGTGCCACATTCCCAGCCCTCGGGGCCCTTTTGTAGTGCTAGCCCTGAGGCTTGAACTCAGGGTCTAGGCACTATCCCTTAGCTTTATTTCTCAAGGCTGGTGCTCAACTACTTGAACCACAGCTCCATGTCTGGCTTTTTGCTGGTTAATTGGAGATAAGAGTCTCAAGGACTTAGCTGCCTCGACTGGCTGTGAACCAGGAGCCTCAGATCTCAGCCTCCTGTATAGCTGGGGTTACAGGCGTGAGCCACCAGTTCCATCAGAGAAGCTCCGGATAGTCTTTAAGACCTTCTCTTGATCTTCCTCCTTCCCCTTCTTCCTCCCTGCCTCACTCCCTCCATTCTATTTCCATTCCTCCTTCTGCCCCCTTCCTGTGTTTTTTTCATGAAGATCAAGAATCTACACTTGCCTTCTGGGGCTGGGACTCAAACCCAGAGGAGAGCACTAGACGCGCACCTGTCCCTACACTACATCCTAGCCCCTACGACCTCCTTATTCTCAGGTGGTCGGTGATCTTCCCTGGAAAGGAAATGTTCTAGCAGATCCAACAACTACAGGAAGGAGCACCGCCAAGCTGGAGCGCCAGAACATTCCCCACCTCGGCTCCTGTGGTGTCTGACAGCCATGTGCTTCCCCGCTGGGTTCAAGCAGAGCGGGGAACCCGCAGTCCGGAGGCTTCCGCAGAGCAGCTGAGCGTCTCTGACACTGTGGAAGACTTGGATTATGAGACCTTCAGAAGACGACGGTGAGGAAACCCTCCCAGCTCTCCCCGCTCCCGCCGTTCCTGCTGCTTCTCCTCCACCTTTCAGTGCTCCAAAACGAATCCACACGTGGCGACACATCACTAGTCAGCACATAACTGCCCTGTCATTGTCAAGCCTGACACACACAACAGAAATTCCTCAAGTGACTTGCTAGTCAGTCGAGACTCAAATTCCCCAGACTGAGTCAAAGATGTCTTACAGGCCGGGTGCTGGTGGCTCACTCCTCTGGTCCTAGCTACTCAGCCGGAGGAGATCTGAGGATTGTGGTCTGAAGCCCGCCCTGGCAAGAAAGGCTGTGAGACTCTCATCTCCAATGACACACACACACACACACACACACACACACACACACACACACACACACACACACACACACACACACACACACACCCTGGAAGTAGAGATTTGGTTCAGATGGTAAAGCACTGGCGTTGAGCAAAAAGGCTCAAGGATAGCACTCAGGCCCGGAGTTCAAACCTCAAGACAGGAAAGAAAGAAAGAAAGAAAAGAGGGGGGGGGAGGGAGGGAGGGAGGGGGGGAAGGAAGGAAGGAAAGAAGAGAGGGAGGGAGGGAGGAAGGGAAGGAGAGAGGAAAGGAGGGAAGAGAGGAAGGGAGGGAGGGAGGAAAGGAGGGAAGGAAGGATGAAGAGAGGGAAAGAGGGAAGGAGGGGGAAGGAGGGAGGGAGGGAAGATGCCTTATAGGATCCCAGAAGGCTCTTGAATTTCCTCTTCCCTGCCATCTCTGACCCAGCTCAGCCATTCTGCAGGGCAGAGGCTGTCTCCCCCCTCCCCCCTCCCCCCTTCCCCCCCCCCACACCACGACCCCCCCAGCACAGCTTTCGTCCCAGTGTTCCTGCCTAAACCTTTCTGTCCACAAGGGCATTTCCTAAACATTATTCATCCTGAGCATTCCTCCAGAAACACCTGCATTTTAACTTAGTACCTAAGTTTTAATATGATACACTAATAATATTTATAATTTAAAATATGATGTAGTAAGTTTTCTGTTCTGTTGCTTTTCCTCTGGCCCTGGGAATCAAGCCCTTGGGCTTCACACATGCTGGGCAAGGACTTTCCCGTTGATCCATGTCCTCAGCCCTGTTTGCTTTTTGGGACAGGGTCTCTAGATAGCTCAGACTGGCCTCCAACTCATAATCTTCCTGCTTCAGCCTCCTAATTTTTCCTGTATCTCCTTTTCTTTCTTTGCAGAACTGGGTATTGAACTACTGAGCTGGATCTTCAGCCTTAACTTTTAAGCTCATATCCTATTTCAAATGACTAGTTTTCAGGTTGAACACCAATGGCTCACTTATATTTCTAGCTATCTGGTTAGCGGAGATCAGGAGGATCATAGTTGGAAGCCAGCCAAGACAGAATATTCATAAGTCCCCAACCAATAGGTAGGCGCAGGGGCACAAGCTAGTGGGAGGCTGAGCGGTACATCACACAGATGCCGATGTCTCGCAGAGATGGACTATCCACAAGCACCCCCCCAAGGAGAGGCCAGGCCACCTCATACTGCTCATACAGGGAAACTGAGGCCGAGCTGGCTAACCATTGTTTGCAGGGCACGTGTGCCTGCTGAGTCAGGTGTCTGGTGGACAGTTCTGGAATGCAGGAAGCTGGATACCATACTGAGCTGCTGAGCTGGCTCCCTGAGGCTGGCAGCTGTGCCCAGCATGGGGGAGCTGTCCCGTGAGTCACACACACACACACACACACACACACACACACACACACACACACACACACACGGCTGGGAGGTCACCTAGGGTGTCTCTGAGCTGCAGGTCTATCCTGACCTTTGACATCTGCCACATGAAGAGGTAGGAAATGTCCTAAGCTGTACATCTGTCAGACAATGAGGTGCGAAGCAGAAAGGGAAACTGAGGCTCGGAGAGAAGAGGGTGCCTTACACTGGAAGCAGGATGTTCACAGAAGGTAGAGAAGCCTCTTAATGACAAGAAGCGTCTAGTTCCCAGCCACCAGAGGCAGGCAGAGAAGGGTCTAAGATACAGCTCGTGGACCCCATGCCCAGAACTTTTGTCTCTCAGTAGGGCTGGGCTTCCAGATGATTCTCTGGGTGCTGGCCTTGGAACATGTTATTAGAATACTTTTTACCTTCTTTGGTCTTGTTTTGTTTTGTTACACAGACTCCCGATGTACCCCAGCCTGGGCCTTGAACTTTCAACCTTCCTCCTTTAGCCTCCCGAGTGCTGGAATTATAGACACGGGTCACCATTCCTGACTCAACAATAACTAACTTTATTCAACTGTCTTTTACCGTCTTCACATGTCTCTCTCCATACCAGCAGGGACAGAGGGCTTTGTGTCTGTCCGGTTCTATTGCATTTCTTTCTGTTTTTGTTTTTTGCAAGGTAGGGATTTTTGAGTGTGCTGGGCTGGGCTGAAAGCTGACTGCCCAGGCTCCCCCCCTCTAGCCTCCCCTCCCCCTCCCCCACCCCGTGTCTGGGCTGCTGCCTTGGTCAGTGCACCTGGAGCCAGCTGCGACCCTGTCCCTGGTCCCCGGCTCCGCAGCGTCTCCTCCCACCACATGTCTGCCCTCATACTGCCTCCCAGCCCCTCCCAGCCCGGGCAACCCCACGGGCTGTCTCGGGATAATGGGCTCTGTGCACGGGCCTGGCTGCCTGCGGGAGCAGACTAGGTGGGGGTGGAGCGGGAATGGGGGTCCTGGTGAAGTGGTGGGCGGCCAGTGGGGTGGCCGTGGAGGTGGGGGAGACTGGCTTCAAAATAGATCAAAGGAGGCCCAACAGAACGTTCCAGATGGGTAGGATATGCCCAGAAGATAGGAGAATGAAGTCAAGGATGAGTGTCTTGGGCCTGCCTGAGTTTAGGTTCTGGATGACTGACTCTTCTTTCCAGGAAGACTTCCAGAGATTTCCTGCTCCTGTTCTCAAAAGCCAGGTGTGCCTGCTCCGCAGCTTGGGTGATTAAGGAGGGAGCAAAAGGCAGAAGGAGGTGCAGCTGGGAAGGGAGGGACGGAGGGAGGGAGGGAGGGAAGGGTCACCCAGAAACTCTGCTTTCTCACCTATACAAGCCAAACAGCTTGAGTTCCAAAATTGCCTCTAGCTTCCCCCGGCAGGGTATGGCGCTTCCCTCTTAGAAACGCCCCCCTCCCCCGCACCCCCTTCCCGAGTGCCCTGGCCTCCTTTTCTTTTCTTTTCTTTTTTTGGTTGGTGGGGCTTGAACTCTGGGCCTGGGCGCTGTCCCTCAGCTCTTCAGCTCAAGGCGAGCGCTCTACCACTTGAGCCACAGCGCCACTTCTGGTTTTCTGAGTGGTTTATTGAAGTTTCACAGCTGTTCCTGCCCGGGCTGGCTTTGAACCTCGATCCTCAGGTCTCAGCCCCCCGAGTCGCTGGATGACAGGCGTGAGCTGCCGGCGCCCGGCCCCTGGCCTTCTCTGCACCCGCAGGACTCAGCCTCAGGAGCCAGAGCATCCAGCAGGCAGTGTCTTCTAAGCTGAAGGGCTGGTTGGGACACATGGCTGGGTGCTGAATCAGCCTCACCCACAGAGGTGTGGGGGTGCGGGCATCTGGGACACACCCCCTGTTCTTTCCCAGAGCCTGGCAATGCCCAGGGTGGCCCCGCTGGCCCAACAGAGTGCAGTGGGGGGAGGGGGAGGCTGGGGGAGGTGCTGTGGCAGCTGCAGCCACCCCCGTCTGCCCTTCCTGGGGTGCTGAGGAGGAGGGAGAGGCGGCTCAGACAGGAAGGCCTGGGGGCAGATAGCATGGCAGGCAGGAATGCACCCCGCCAGCCAGTGGGGCCCCAGGTCACGTGACGGCTGCCCCGCCCTCCGGGCTGTGACAGGGCAGCCTCCTGGCTGCCAGGGCCACATCCACGCAGTCCGCGCGCACTGGCTTCGCTGTCTCCACTCGGGATCGCAGGTACGAGATGGGGTGGGGAAGGGCAGGGAGGGACCCGCAGGCATGGTCCTCCTTCCCGGCCATCCTCGGTGGCCCTGGGCTTGGGACCCCAACGCTGCCCCTTCCTGACTGGCCTAGAAGCTTAGTGACCCATGCCCCCCGCCCCGGAATTGTGTTGAGCCCGGCCACAGTTGGTGACCGGCTCCAGTCCTGTCACTGGCTGCTGTGGGAAATTTCGGGAAAGCTCTAGAGGGGCCGGAGGTGTGGCTCAGGAGCAGAGCCCCTGCCTAGCGAGCGCCACAGCAGATTCCCTGACGTGGGTGAGTGTCCTGTGGGACCTGAAGGGTCTTGCCACGTCCCAGGGCCTCTCCTCACCTGCCGCTGATGGACGTCAGCAGTGATCTTTCTCCCCCAAAGATCTTGGGGCACACCCCTCAATGACCTGGGTTGTAAAGACACAGCCTCCTCCCTCCTGGAGGCTGAGCCAGGCCGGGGAGACCTGGGAGGAAAGATCCCTGAGTGGAGACAATGCTGAACGAAGATGTAGGTCTGGGGCAGGGGAAGCCTCGTTTCCTTGCGGGCCGCTGGGACCCCCAGCCCCGAGGCCTCTGGGCCATCCCTCCTCCGGGATGTCTTCCTCTGCCTCTGCTTGGAGCCCCCTGGCTCTGGGCACCCCTCCAGCCTCGTTTCCTTGGGAAGGGAAATCAACTGCGTCTTGTTTTCTTCTGTTCTATTTAGAAACGGCCCCTATTTAGAGGCCAGAGCTCTAACTAGGGTTGGGGTGGGGGTGTCAGGAGTGTTCGGGGGAGTCATGGACAGCACGGTGTGGAGATCTGAGAATTGGCTCCTCCTGACTGAAGTTCTGAAGCCCTTGCTAGGCCGCCTTCCGTGGATCTTTCCGGAGCGTTGTTAGCACAGAGGACCGTGCTGGCCTCTGCCCCATAGACGCCTCTGCCCCGAGCAAACTTGCGGATGGGGTCATCTTTTTGTTTCCTTTTAAATAACGGCCTTATGAAGATAGACCTTGCATTCCATAAGTCCACCTTTCCACAGGGTGAGCTCTGTGTTTTGTTGGTGGTCGTGGGGCTTGAACTCTGGGCCTGGGCGCTGTCCCTCAGCTCGTTGGCTCAAGGCGAGCGCTCTACCACTTCAGCCACAGCATCACTTCCAGTTTTCTGGTGGTTCATTGGAGATAAGCATTGTACGGACTTCCCTTCCCTGGCTGGCTTTGAACCGTGATCCTCCGATCTCAGCCTCCTGAGTAGCTAGGATGACAGGTGTGCACCACCAGCCCCCGGGCTTATTGAGACATACAAGCACAAACACACAGCTGTGGTTTGGCTTTGCATCTCCCTGTGAGTGGTGCTGAGCCGCCTGCTGTGAGTCTTCTCCCCAGGAACTTCATTCAAATCAGTTGGCCACGGGGACCCTGAGCTGCTGCTCGGTGAAGTGCTGAGTGGTAGCCAGCCCCTTGCCAGGCCAGGGCGCTGAGGCCTCCAGAAAGGAGAATGTGGATGCGGCCCTGGAGGCCTCACGGTGAGCAGGGGGGCGGGGGGGGGGGGGGACCAAGTTCAGAGAGGGCCCAGCGCTTGCATGGGCCAGGTATTGGACACTTCCTTTTTGAACTTGGTGTGTGTGTGAGAGAAGCGGGGGGCAAGCAGGGAGACAACAGAGAGAGACAGAGGCAGAAGAGGGAGAAACAGCAATTTGGGGAGGAGCGAGCCGCACTGCGGGGCGGGGCTCTGGCTAACTGCCCGAGGGGATGCTCACCAGTCAGGTCAGCCAGGGAAGCCTGGGGGCGCGGAAAAACTTCTTCCCGTGAATCATCAGATTTGTCCTTGGGTTCCTCCAGAAACATCTTTTGGGGGGCAGCCCCCGCCCTCGTTTTCCTTGCCGCCGATTAGCTCTAGACCTCAAAGCAGGAGCCGGGCTTCGCAGGGTCAGGCTTAGGCTGACGCTGTAGAGCAACCGTTGTCCAACTGCTCCCTTGTTTTGGTTTTCTGCTTTCCGGCGTTTTGTCTGCTGGCTGGGGTCTGTTTGGCGGCAGGGTCTCACTATGTATCGCTGGCTGGGAATAGAGCTCTCGGTCCTCCTGCCAACCCTACCCCTCCCACGGCCGTGATTACAGGAGTGTACCACCGGGCTCAGCCGTGTTGATGTACACATTCTTTTCAAGAGAAAAGGCTGGGCTGGGAGACGTATCTCCGTGCTACAGTGCTTGTGCCTTGGGCCCGTCCAACCTGGACACACGTATAGATTTGTCAGTGGCAGATGACTCCCAACTTTTGCACTATTCCGTTACGACTTTGTGACCTCGCAATGGCGCCCTGGTGGTCTGTCGTGAGCGGGAGACGCACTTTAAGCGCTGAGTCTGGCTCCTCCCCTTGGTCAGCCTCACCTTTGCTGGCCCAGCTCCCAGCAGAAGAGGGGGGCATGCGGCACCCCTCGGGCCCCCGTGGCTGAGCTGGCTACACGCTGGGACCTTGGCGTAAGGCCTGCCGTGGTTCCTCAGGACCAGACTCTGTGTAAGCAAGGCGGACGTGAGGACACGTGTGGTGGCTGTTAGCTCAGGACTCAGCTCGCGTCCGCCGAGAACCGTCTCGGCTACGGACAGTGGATGGAAACCCAGCCGTCATGCCGTAGACTTAGCGTTGCTCCGGAAGCAGTTCGTGTGCTTTTCCTGACCTCAGGAACCCCATAGCGTCATGACACGCAGCGTGGGCCATGCGGGCTGGGGGTGCCCATTAGGTTCAACTATATCCTGTCAGCGACTTTTAGTTAAAAATGGAGTAGGGGCGGGTGGATTGGTCCTCTCCTCTTGGACTCTGAAGGCGATTGTTCGAGAGACGAGGACGTAGGCACGAACCCGGGCCCTTCGTGAACTTCCCACCTGAAAGCAAGTGCTTTTAGAAGATTCTTCTAGAAGGCTGGGCATGGGGGTGGACACCTGTGGTCTCAGCTATTTGGGAGGCAGAGGCAGGAGGATCGCAGTTGGAGGCCAGCCCAGACAATGTTAACTTCAGACCTAAAAGCAAAAAAAAAGGGCTTCATGAACTAAAAGCAAAAAAAAAGGGCTGGAGTGTGGATCGAGTGGCAGAGCACTTGCCTACCAAGGCGAGGCCCTGTGTTCAAACCCCAATGCCCCCAAGCCAAAAAAGCAATCCAGCCCCTGAGCAGACGTAGGAGGATGTGGGGAAGACCCCAACACAGAGAGGGCTAGAGAAGGCGGCCCCAGGGGCTCAGGCTCCAGACACGCCAGGGAGGCAGATTGTGAGCTTTATGTCCCTCGTGAAACAAGTCAGACTCCCAGAAGGACTGGCTGCCAAGGCTAGCCTGGACGAAGGGCAGTGGTCACTGTGCTGGGGAAGAGGGCTCGGGGGACAGACAGTCCCGCTGGGGGCCGCTTGTCCTGTAGCTGAGCATTCGTCGGACAGTAGGGTGTGCATGTATTTGGGGTGCATTAGGAAGCACTCATGTCCCCCCCAGCTCTACCCTTGGACTTAGGTCCACCCCTGGGACCCCTTGGCATCCCAAGGGCCAGTCCCGACTCCTTCTCCACCTGCCTCACTGCTCAAACCTCCCACCTGCCGGCCTCCCCCTCCTCCTCCACCTGGAGTATCGGAACCCAGGGCTTCGGGCGAGCAAGGCAGGTGCTCCGCCACTGAGCCGCAGCCAGGCGCTGAGCCCTTCCTCCCACCGTGGCTCTGGCTGGCTGTGGAATTCCCAGTCAGGCCAGCCTCCATCCCACCCCCATGCAGAGCGAGACCAGGTCAGCGGCCTCTAAAAGGAGCGGTGGGCCCTGGAGCCAGCGGCAGCCCCGAGCTGCCCCAGGACGGTTTGGGCCGCCCGTGGGCTATCACAGAACCAGAGGCTGGGGATTTCTCATGAGAAGGAGGCTTGGGGGCGGGGGTTATTTCATACTCTGGAGGACGGCAAGTCCCCAACCAATGAGCCGCACCTGGGGGGGGGGGGGGGCAACATCCAAAAGGCAAAAGAGAACGGGAGAGCAAGATAGGCTGAGCCTTGGCAAGTTCCTCTTCAATTCCTCAGTTTCTCCAGGGGGCGGGGCCATCTACAGGACCGCGATCCCCCTCATTGCCTTCCTTCTGGGTGGCGTGGGGACCCAGCAAGCTGGGAAGGGAGCACAGGGGAAATCCAGTTCATCCAGACATGCAGCGGCCCAGCCCCTCTCCGCCCCTGACTCAGCAGGGTTGGGCTTTTTGGTTGAAAGTGCTGGAAAGTCAGGCACGAGAGTTTCTTGTAGGATCCATGTCAGATTCAAGACTTCTAGCCAGCTGGGCAGGGGTAGCTCACGCCTGTCATCCTAGCTACTCAGGAGGCTGAGATCTGAGGATTGCCATTCAAAGCCAGCCTGGGCAGGAGAGTCTGTGAGACTCTGATCTCCCATGAACCACCAGAAAACCGGAAGTGGCGCTGTGGCTGTGGAGCAGAAAAGCTCAAAAACAGGATCCGGGCCCTGAGTTCAAGCCCCACAACCACCACCACCAACAACAAAAGGCCTGGGAGTCGGGCTGCTCTGTTGGAGTGTGGTGGAGGGGGGTCTGTCTGTAGACCTGAGACCCTGCGTGGATTACTTCATTTACCTGAGCCTCTATCTCCTCCTGTAGAAAATGAGATCTGTGTGGAGGGGAAGGCCATCTCGCCCTGGGCACAGAGCCCGGGTTTGACCCCCAGAAACATAAAATGAGTGAAGATCACAGGCAAGGTGTCCTGTTCTTTGTCTGCATTTGCTTAGTTCCCAATGGCTCATCGTGGCTCTAAGGAAATCGATGACTATGTGTAGTGTTTTTTAGGTTGCTGGTGGTGATTGGTGGTGGTTGTGGGGCTCGAACTCAGGTTTCTACCACAGTCCTCCGATCTCAGCCTCCTGAGTAGCTAGGATGACAGGTGTGAGTCACTGGTGCCCAGCTACAGATGGTTTTTTGAGATGCTGGAGGTGAAACTCAGAGCCTTGCACATGCTGGGCGATGTCTACCCCTGCGCCACGCCCAGCCCAGCCCAGCCTCCCGACCTGGAGACTGGAGGCCTCCTCCCAGCAGTCTCTCTGCCAGATATGTCTTCTTGGGTGCTGTATCCGGGTGTGTTCATCAGCCTTGGTTGTCTGTCAAGTTTAACAAGCTACGTTTCTCTTCTTAGAGCAGAAAAAAAATGGGATGGGATGAGGAGAGGCGCCACGGGCCCTCCTTCCGGGACAGTTCACGCCCGGCCCCTCGTGCTGGGCCAGCGGCTAACATCTGTGCTGGAAAACCAGAGTCGTGCCATATGCCTGCTGCCCCAGCTCCTTGGAGGCTGAGCCAGAAGGATGGCTGGGGCTCAGGAGTCCCGGGCAGCCTGGGTGACAAAGCCTGACTCAGCCAAGGCCGCTTGTCTAAGCCAAGCCAGCCTCGTCTGCACACCGCTCCAGGACCATGGCGGCTTCCTTCCTGGTCCCAATGACGGGCCCTGGGAGGAAGGGCTGGCATCTGCCCTTCCGTCTCCCCGCGTGGACACAGCCACAGCCCTGGCTCTTCCCCTCTCGCAGTGTGTGTTCCCAGGCAAGCGTCTTGTCTTGTCTGGGCCTCCTACCTTCACCTATGAAGTGGGCACCGCCCAGTGAGCCCCTGTGGCGAGGGGGCTTGGAACCGTGCTTGGCAGGTAGGAAACGCTTATTCAGCCCCCACCCCCATCCTTTGCACTCTGCGCCCAGCCCTGGGCAGGTGACCCGGTGATGACAAACCCTGGGTGTGGCAGACCCTCCAGCAGGGCTGATGGGGAGCTCAAGCCGGAGTATGCCCCCTGAAGTGGTACAGCGAGGTCCTGGCCTGGAGGCAGAGTCCGCGGGAGGCAGAGGTGACTAAGGGTTGGGATGGCAGTGCTCCCGGAGATATGGTGGGAGCCTCGAGGCCTCCAAGGGCTACCGCCCGAGCACTGACTGCTGGCTGCCCGTGCCTCAGTACCTTTGCATGTGCTTTGCCCTGCGACCCTTTCCAGCTAGCGCATCCCACCTACTCTCCTTCAGGAACTTTCTTCCTATCAACCCCAGCTACCGTCCTGGTCTCACACAGTATTTTCAGGCCTGGCCCACTCTGTATAAAACTAAACTCGCTGGGCGCTGGTGGCTCACACCTATGGTCATCCTAGCTACTCAGGAGGCTGAGATCTGAGGATCACAATTCGAAGCCAGCCCAGATAGGAAACTCCGTGAGACTCTTAACCTCTACCAGAAAACCAGAAATGGCACTGTGAGCTGAAGAGCTGAGGGACAGCACCCAGGCCCAGAGTTTAAGCCCCACAACTGACCAAAAATAAATAAATAAAACTAAACTAAACTCATCCTTCTAGGTTCAGGTCAAAAAGCACTTCCTGAAGCCTCCACTAGCTGCCTAGCCTGTGCCCACCGCTGAAAAGCCCTGTCCTCTCCATACCTGCACTGCCTTCCTGGGTTTTGTTTTTGTTTGTCTTCTGCTACTGGGGCTTGAACTCATGGACACTGGCTATGAGATTTGTTTTACTTAAAGCTGACTGATTCTCTACCCCTTGAACCATAGTACAACTTCAGCTTTTTGGTGGTTACTTAGAGATAAGAATCCAACAGACTTCCCTGCCCAGGCTGGCTTTGAACCATGAGGCTCAGATCTCAGCCTCCTGAGTAGCTAGAATGACAGGCATGAGCCACACATGCCCCGCAAGTAGCTAGGATGACAGGCCTGAGCCACGCATGCCGGGCGGGCCCAGATTTGTGATCACATCCTATGACACTGTTGTTAGCAAGCTAAAGACTGGGGGTGGATTTTGGCAGTAAACACCATGAAGTTACAGGCATGTGGAATTCACAGTCGTGAACACTGTTTTATTTTTTTGCATCAGTGAAACATACAATGTGTGTGTACACACATAACTGTCTATATTCTTTTCTCAGTATAGTGAGCTTCTGTTGCACTGAGGGAATGTGGTCGTGTGACACCCCCCCATTTCAAAGGATTCTGGGAAATGTAGTCTCTAGCTGGTAGTCATGTGTCCAACTAAAATCTGGCTATTGGGCAATGGCTGCAGCAGGGTAGCTATGTGTATCTTTGTTGGGGAGAGTACCTGCTCACTCAGGTTAGCTATGTGATTTCCAAGGCAACAGTTATTTTTGTGACCCCCATCTCTGGGGACCTCTCAGAAGTTCAGGAAAGCAGAGTATGGTGTCCCAGAGGGACATACATCCAAACTCCTGCCCTTCCCTTCACCACTTAGATCCGTGACTCTGCAGGGACCCAGGAGCAGTGTTTGCCGTGGGCCTGTATTTCCAGGGGTATATTGGGGAGAATTTAAGGTTTGCAGTCACTCCAACTCTCTGAGCCTCAGTTCTCCTCTTTGTGGAAGAAAACTGGTAAAACTCACCGTATAAGTCAAATGAAACAATCTGTTAGGAAAAAGTTTTGGTTTTGGTTTGTTTTTTGTTGTTTGTGGGGCTTGCACTCAGGCCTGGGCACTGTCCATAAGCTCTTTTTTTCAAGGCTAGTGTAAGCTTAAAAAAAGATTAATTAGACTTTGCTAGAGAACCATGCAGACATCCAGATACAGAGAACAAAGAAAGGTTTATTGCTAGGAAAGGGGGCCGGCAAGACTCCTTCTCACGTGGGAGGAGTGAGAAGCACCGGCTATTGTCTGAGCTGACCTATATAACCTAGGTTTAGGAGGGGCTAGAAGGGTCTAGGAGGCGGAGACCCCGGTGTGGACGTGTGGGCCAGGGGCTAGGATTGATGGCTGCTATCCAAATAGTAGATAAGGGCCCTGCAGCTGCCCAGACCTGAAGGTCACTCTGAGGCACTCTTGCTGCCTTCTATGGTGGTAGCTGCCCCAGAGAAGTGCCATCCCAAGGTAAAGGGGGCTGGAGGCTGATTATTTACTGCCTTTACTACATGGGCCTAGTGCTGCCTAGGAAGGGAGCGTGCTAAACTGGAGAAGGGAAGGGTGGACTAGGCTATGGGAAGGGAGCGCATTTTGCTAACAGCTAGCGCTCTACCACTTGAGCCACAGCATCACTTCCAGGTTTTCTGGTGGTTTATTGGAGATGAGAGTTTCACAGATTTTCCTGCCTGGGCTGGGTTTCAACTGTGATCCTCAGATCTCAGCCTCCTGAGTAGCTAGGATGACAGACATAAGCTACCAGCACCCAGTCTCTCTCTCTCTGTCTCTCTCTGTCTCTCTGTCTCTCTCTGTGTCTCTTTCTTTTTCTCTCTCTCTGTGTTTCTGTGTCTCTCTCTTTTTCTTTTTCTGTCTCTGTCTCTGTCTTGCTGTATAGCTCAGGCTGGACTAACAATCTTCCTCTGTTAGCCTATTGAACACTAGATTACAGGAAAAGTTGGGGTTTTTTTTTGTTGGTTGTGGGGCTTGAGCTCTTCAGCTCTTCAGCTCAAGGCAAGGGCTCCACCACTTGAGCCACAGCGGCACTTCTGGTTTTCTGGTGGTTAATTGGAGATAAGAGTTTCATGGGCTTTGCTGCCTGTGCTGGCTTTGAACTGTGATCCTCAGATCTCAGCCTCCTGAGTAGCTAGGATGACAGGTGTGAGTCACTGGCACCTGGCTACGAAAAGTTCTTAATGTTATCAAAAGATGAACATTATTCAAATGTTCCTCATTCCTAAGTTGTTTCCCTTATACTTTTAAATACTGGGTCTTTCTTTCTCTCTTTCCTTCTTTCTTTCTTTCGTTCATTTGTTTTTTGTTTTTTTTGGTTGGTTGTGAGGCTTGAACCCAGGGCCTGGGTGGTGCCCCTGAGCTCTTTTGCTCAAGGCTAGCTCTAGCCACAGCGTCTAGATCTCCTTTTCTTATTCCCTATTTACTGGCCAGGCTCTGGTGTGTTGAGCCGCTCACAGCAGTGCAGTGACTTGCTTGTTGTTGCTGCTCCTCCAGGGAAAGCCATGGAGACGTCCGGACCCTCTTCCCAGGCTCAGGACCACAGTGGATTCCACGGAGGAGCGGAAGGTTTGGACTGCGCGTGGCCCTCTCAGGCCCTCCGGGCAAAGCCTGCTGGGAGGAAGGGTGGGCAGGGGGAGGAGGGACAGCAGGTCACGTGACACGGTGGCTCACCTCACAGTTGAAATGGAGACTAGCTGGCTTACACGCCTGCATGTCCACCTCGATGCTGGATGGTGTCACCCAGCACACTCCAGCTGAGGGGACCTTTAGTTGTTCCCAAATCTTGACTTTGGGGGGCTGGGGCTGGAACTTGGGAGGATCCCTGGATGATGGGAAAGGTCCATGTGCCCCTCCCCACTGGCAGGTGGGAAAAAGCCCTGCTTTGGGGATCTGTGTTAGGGAAACTCTTGCGTTGCTGTCTTAGAATTCTCTGAGAACTTGATTTCCCACACCTCCTGTTGCCTTAGATGTCTGGGAGGTAGTCGAGGGCCGGGAGGCCTCTGGCATGCACACAGACCTCTGGGGAGGCCTGGGTGGTTCCTGGCGTCCGGGTGGGCGGGCAACTCTCATTACCTTGTCTGTGTGTCTCCCAGATGGAGAGACAAACTGCCACAAGCAAGATGGGAAGGCAGGACTCTCTTCTCCAGGGCACTATGAGAGAGACAAGTCTTCCTCTTCATCTTCCTCCTCCTCCTCCTCTTCATCCTCTTCCTCCTCCTCCTCTTCAGGTATAGCAAAGGTTTTTAGGGTTGGGGCTGTAGTATGTGGGTGAGCCCTTGCTGGTGCACATGAGGCTCCGGGCTCCATCCTCTGTCCCCAAATGTCTCCATTCCTGATCACCGTGGTGTTAAAGAGAATTACCCTTTGCATAGTTCATAGCGGAACCATTGACCCATGGCCAATCAACGACCAATCTATGATATGGACAGGAATCACTGACCCTGCATGTGTGCTCTAACACTGGGCTTAGAGGAAAAACACCAGTAACATCCTAGTAGAATCTTGATTCCAATTGCCACAACATCCTCTAAGAAATAACGGAACGTGCTTTTGTTTTTTTACTCTTTTAATGCAAAATGTAAGGTTGGTGACCCATGTATGCCTGAAATCCTAGTGATTTATGAGGCTTAGATCCCCCCTCCTCCACCCAGGGCAGAAAAGCCCATGAGACTCATATTTCCAACTAACCAGCTAAAAGCCAGAAATAGAGCCATGGCTCCAAGCGGTAGAGTGCTAACCTTGAGCAAAAAAGCTCAAGGACAGTGCTCAGGCACTGGGTTCAGGTCCCATGACTACCAAAGCAAAGCAAAACAACCACAAAAAACCTCCACGGTGCCAGTCATCACAGAGAATCAGTGCTTACTTAGCTGGCGCTCTACCACTTGAGCCACAGCTCCACCTTCAGGCACTGAGATGAGGGCTGTGGCCATAGAAATGCCTGTCAGGGTGTGCTGCAGCACCAGTGGCTCATGCCTTCCACTCAGGAGACTGAGATCCGAGGATCTGGTGCCAAGCCAACCTGGGCAGCAGAGTCTGTGAGACATGTACCTTCAGTTAATCACCAAAAGGATGGAAGTGGAGCTGTGGCTCAAATGGTAGAGCACCAGTCTTGAGCAAAGAAAAACACAAAACCTCAGGGACTGAGCCCAGGCCACCCCCCCCCCCCACACACACACTTGTGAAGCAGACACAAAACTCACAGAAATATGACATGATTATTACCTGACACGTCAAAAGGCAGGTTTCTTCAGCCCCTGTCCCCAAGGCAGGTTCCTTCCTCCATCCACAGCACCACACAGGCGAAGTCCTGAAAAGCAGGAGCCCCCACGGGCCTGGCCCCGGCCCCAGGCAGGCAGGCACCTGCCACAGCTTGTCTTGTTCCCTGCAGAAAGTGGTGATGAGGACCCAATCCCCCGAGGTCCTAGGAAACGCCGGCAGAGCCTGGGCGCGGCACGCCCCGCCAGGAACTCCTCAGCGGGTAGGCCTCACTCATGTTTGCTTTGCCCCTTGGCTGAGTGTGTGCGTGACCTCCCCGCGCAGCCTTCTTTACAGCAGGACTCAGCCAGCAAAGTGCCTAAGCTCCAACCAATCACAGAGAAGCAGCTGGGCAAACGCTATCCCAGTCCTGGTGATAGCTAGCAAATCAAACCCCTCAGTTGATCTGCTATACGTCTTGTCGGGACTCACGTGCGTATGGTTGTAATGGAGGCGGGAAGAAAGACTATCAGAAGGGCAATGGTGGTTGCCTCTGGGTGGAGAAATTATGTGTCTTCCTCTTTCTTACCTGCCTCCCTCTCCCCATCTCCTCTTTGAGACAGGGTTTCTCTATGTAACCCAAGCTGGCCTCAAAATCCTCCCGCCTCAGCCTCCCAAGTGCTAGGATTATAGGTGTGTGCCACCATGCCTGGCTAATTTTCTCTTACCTTTTTTTCTTTTTGTGCTGGTACTGGGGCTTGAACTCAGGTCCTGGGTGCTGTCTCTTAGCTCTTTCACTCAAGGCTGGCAACTCTACTCCTTGAGCCATACCTCCACTTCTGGCTTTTTAGAGATATGAGTCTTGGATTTTCCTGCCCAGGCTGGCTTTGACCTATGATCCCCAGATCTTGACCTGCTGAGGAGCTAGGATTACAGGCGTGAGCGACCCAGGCTTGATCTGGGTTAACTTGCCATGCTTCTGTTGCTTTCCTTGTGTAATGGGGGGGACTAATCTCATGATTTCTGTGGGGGGGCCCCATAAAATGACAACTATGCTTCAGACCTGGAGGAGGCAGTGGGGGTCCAGAGAACTGACAGAGGTTTATCTCCACAGGCACCGAACACGGGGGGCTTGATGTGGCGCGCAATGAACTGCAGTTGTATGGAGGTAACTGCTTGGCCCGGTGGCTTTGGGGGAGAGAAGCAGGGGGCTTTCAGGGACAGAAGCAATGTCATGGGAATATTCCCAGACAAGTACAGATGTGGGCATTGTGATACATGCCTGTACGTCCAGCACTAGGGAGGTTGAGGAAGGATGATCAGGGGTTGGAGGTATGTAGCCCAGCCTGTGAGGAAGGGAGGGGAGGAGACAGGAAGGAAGGGGAATACAGAGGTGGCTGGTGAGAGGCTGTTATGGGGGGAGGGGTGGGGTGTCTTGGGGTTACCCGCCTTCTGTGCTGTGCCATAAGTTGGCCTTGAGGACCACACAAGCTTCCTGGGCCTTGTTCTTCCCAGTCAGTCAGATAGGCTCAGTGTCATTGGGGCTATTCCTGGAAACACTGGACTGTTGAGCAAATAGGACTGGAGGCCTGGTTCACATGGTAGCGTGCCTGTGTAGCAAATGTGAGGCTCTGGGTTCAAACCCCAGTAGCACATCTACGTCACATGGGGCGGGCTGGGCAGGGGGGTGGACGGCTATGCTGATCCTCCATGGACACGTGGCCTGGCTGCACAAGAGTTGCCACGTTCCCTAAAATGGGGGCGTCCGGGGGGAGAAACCCTGACCTCGGGGACCCTGGAAGGTCTGTAATCTGGGCAGACAGGTAGGCAGCAGCTCTCCAGGGCTGGTACACGGTGCGGGAACCTTCTAGTCTGCACGGTGTCCACCTGGCCCACCAAGTCTCGGGGCGGGGGCCAGGCCCCTCGCGCAGCCCTGCTCACGGATGGGTCCCACTCAGGTGCTGCGGGCGCCGAGGGAGAGCTGGCACCGTCTGGAGAGTCAGGTGAGCGTCGGGTAGGGAGGGGTGCTCTAGGCTGGTGTAGCGTGTCCTCCACTAGACCTGGCCATGGTTGGGGTGCACGGCTATGGGAGACACTTGGGGACTGAGGGAGGCCGGGCTGGCTGGACAGGAGGCGGGGGATGAGGAGGGGCGGAGGCGCCGCCCAGGACCTAGGCTAGTGCAGCACTAACACCACTTCCTCCTCACCTTTGCAGAACTCCAAAGAAGAGGCTCGGTGTCGGAGGCCGGTAACTACACAGGAGGAGGCAGCCGGGTCCTAGGGGGCAGGAGGGGACCCCCGATGGCCTGAGAGGGTGGCCAGGCATTGCATGGTTGTCACAGTGATCCCTGTAGTGCAGGGGAAACAGGAGGGAAGGAAGCTGGCGGAAGAAGGAAGTCACTGGGGCCCCCAAAATGGTCACCCATCCCCACCGTCTGCTTAGCTGTTGCTGCACGAGCACCCTCTGTCCACAAAGAAGCATTATTAGCAAGAAGTTAAGTCTCACACCGAGCACCACGGCTCACGCCTGTAATCCTAACTATTCAGGAAGCTGAGCTGTGAGGATTGTGATTCAAAACCAGCCCAGGTAGGAAAGTCTGTGAAACTCTTATCTCCAGTAAACCACTGAAAAGCTGTAAGTGGAGCTGTGGCTCAAGTGGTAGAATGCCAGCCTAAGAGGCTAAGTTCCAGTAGCAGCACACACACACACACACACACATGTTAATTCTCTTCCTTGTTAAAACTAACTGCCCTGTCTTGTTCCCAAGGGGAGGTGGAGGCTTCAGAGTTCCCAAGACAGAACATAAAGAAAGATGGTAAGGAAATGGGTTATGTTAGAGCTGCGACCCTGGGCTCATCCAGCTTTCTATGCATTCGCTGCTCTGGTGGCCTAGAACATCTGGCCACATCTGTTGTGCGCCCTCATCTCTTTCAAACCAAGTGGTCTTACCCCTCAGCGCCCTGTTTCCTCTTGTATTGCTGCACAATCCGCCTCGGGGCGCTGAGACCGGAGCTCAGGGCCTTATGCATTCTAGGCAAGCACTCTGCTACCGCTCCACCATGCTTCTAGCCCTTCGTGGATTGACTGATGTATATTCTTTTGAGACAGGATCTTGCTGTGGAGCCCAGGGTGGCCTAACACTCACAGATCTCCTGCTTCCAGCTTTGCGAGTGCTGGGATTACAGGCATGCACCACCATGCCTGGCCCCTGAAAAGCAAGCGCACTGTGTTCTTTGCCCCAGAGCCTCCCACAGTGCCTGGCAGAGTGCAGGGGTGTCTGGGGCAGACCGCCGAGTTCCTGCCTGGGGCACAGGCTCTGATTCTCCCAACATCTCTGAGCGTGTGTGGTTTTGAACATTCATCCCAACACCTGAAGCACTGAGCAGCCCTGTATGCGGAGGATTCCCGGGAGGGCGAGGGCTGGCGCCCTGCCCACTACAGAATCCAGAGTCAGGAGGGGTGGGGGTCACACTGGAGCATAGCACGTTACCTAAGAGATGAGCTAAGGCCAGAGCCGCAAGGGGTCCCGAGGCACAGCTGTACGTCTGTTGAACTCTGGGCTTGGGTGCTGTCGTGCTCTTCAGCTCAAGGCGAGCGCTCTACCGCTTGAGCCACAGTGCCACTTCCGGTTTTCTAGCGCGTTTATTGGAGACAAGAACCTCAGGGGCTTTCCTGCCTGGGCTGGCTTTGAACCACGATCCTCAGATCTCCGTCTCCTGAGTAGCTAGGATGACAGGCCACCGGCGCCCAGCTAAGACTTTTTGTTATTTGAACACAAGAGAATAAACGAGTGCCTATAAGCAAGGGCAAGGCCCTGGGTTGAAGCATCAGTACGACCAAACACAGAGCTAGGGGCCAGTGGCTCCCGCCTGTCATCCTGGCTACTCAGGAAACTGAGAGCCAAGGATCACAGTTCAAGGCCAGCCTGGGCAGGAAAGTCTATGAGACTCTTTTTTTTTTTTTTTTTTTTTTGGTTGTGGGGCTTGAACTCTGGGCTTGGGCGCTGTCCCTCAGCTCTTCAGCTCAAGGCAAGCGCTCTACCGCTTGAGCCACAGCGCCACTTCCGGTTTTCTAGTAGTTTATTGGAGATAAGAGTCTCATGGACTTTCCTGCCCGGGCTGGCTAATTGAACCACGATCCTCAGATCTCAGCCTTCTGAGCAGCTAGGATTACACTTGTGAGCCACCGGCAGCCGGATTCTGTGAGACTCTTATCTCCAATGAACCACCAGAAAACCAGAAGTGGTGTTGTGGCTCAAAGTGATAGAGGGCTAGCCTTAAGCAAAAGGACTCAGGGACAGTGTCAAGGCCCTGATTTTAGGTCTCATGACAGAAAGAAAAGAAAAAAAAAGAGAAAAGAAAAGAGAGAGAGAGAGAAAGGCGCTGTCCGCCCAGGCCCAGAGTTCAAGCCCCACAACCAACAACAAAAAAAAAAAAAAGAAAGAGGGCTGGGATGGTAGCTCAGTGGTAGAGCGCTTGCCTTGCATGCCTGAGGCCTTGGGTTCGATTCCTCAGCACCACATAAGCAAAAAGCCGGAAGTGGCGCTGTGGCTCAAGTGGTAGAGTACTAGCCTTGAGCTGAAGAGCTGAAGGACAGCACCCAGACCCAGAGTTCAGGCCCCACAACCGGACCCCCAAAAAAAAAACAAAAAAAAAACTAAACCAAAACAAAAAAAAGAAAGAGAAGGAAAGAAGGAAGGGAGGGAGGAGGGAAGGGAGGGAGGGAGGAAGGAGAGAAGCTGGTGTAGGTAGTGCATCCCTGTAGTCCCAACACTCAGGAGGCTATGAAGCTGGAGGATCCTGAAGTTTGAGGCCAAGCTTGACACATCACAAGATCCTCATCTTAACAAACAAATGAATCAAGAAAGGGCTGTGATGTGGCGCGTGTGCACGGCCTCGGGTTCCATCCCCAGCACCGCCACAACAGAAAGAGAAAAAGAAGTGGACAAAGAAGAAGTAACCTTCCTGCTTCTGCCTTCACAGACGAGTTCTTCCACTTCGTCCTCCTCTGCTTTGGCATCGGGGCTCTGCTGGTGTGCTATCACTACTATGCGGGTGAGGACCAGGGGGATGTGGGGAGGGGGAGCGTGGAGAGGCGGGGGGGGGGGGGTCGGGAAACAGAGCATTGGGCCTGCAGGTGACCTTTGCTGCCCTTCCAGACTGGTTCATGTCCCTCGGGGTCGGCCTGCTCACCTTCGCCTCCCTGGAGACGGTCGGCATCTACTTCGGGCTGGGTAAGTCCCCCGCTGGAACCCCACACACGTCCACACACTCCTGGCTGGATGAGCCGTTCCTTCCCGCTCACCAATCGCCCAAGAGTAGCCATCTAAACTTTGAGTTTTTTGAGAGACACATTCCTGGCTGTGTAGCTCAGCCTGACCTTGAACTCTCCATCTTAGCCTCCCAAGAGCTGGGATTACAGGCGTGAACCATCATGCCACACTGACAAACTAAACTAAAAAAAAAAATCCTGCTGCGCTGGTTTCTTCCTGGCCAACTTCAAGGTCAACATGAAGTCATAGGCAGGACCTGGGCGGGGAGGGGGGAAGGGCAGGGGTAGCAGCTCCATGAAAATGCAACAACAAATACAATTTCAAGTGGCAAACACACAAAGCACTGGGCAGATGAGGAAAAGCAGCCGTGGCGGCAGCGAGGCCAGGAGTGCCGGGTCCCGGGGTCTGTTCCTGCCGCCCTGCCCACAGCTGGCCATCTTCATCACTAGTGCTGTCGCCTCGGCTCAGGCTGCACAGCCCTGGGACAGCAAGGTCTGTGTGGATCCTGGGAGGGACGCCATCCTGATCGGCCCGCCCCTGTTCCTGTGTTTTTCCGCAGTGTACCGGATCCACAGCGTGCTACGAGGCTTCATCCCCCTCCTGCAGAAGCTCCGGCTGCTGGGTAATGTCTCCACTCTTCCCAGGCTCACCGTCTTTCCCTCCCAGGGGATTGCAACCAAGGCTTCAGGGCTAAAACAGAGCCACAACTGCTGGGTGCCCACGGCTCAACGCCTGTAATCCTAGCGACTCAGGAGGCTGAGACCTGAGGACTGAACGTTGAAGCCAGCCCAGACAGGAAAATCAATGAGACTCTTTTCTCCAATGAACCATCAAAAAGCCACAAATGGAGCTGCAGTTCCAGTGGTACAGGGCCAGCCGTACAGGGCCAGCCATAAGCCAGAAAGCTAAGGGACGATGCTCAGGTCCTCAGTTCAAACCCCAGTCCTGGTGCACAAGCACACAGAAGAAAGCCTCAAAGCAAGGGACTTGGGGTCCAGTCTACCTCTGTTCATTTCCCAGCCTGCGATACGGGATGGCTAGTAGCCTCTTGTTTTGTTTTAAATCAGTGCTGAGGTTGGAACGAGGGAGGGAGGGATGCAGGAGGCTCGGGTGTGAAACTCATGGAGGAAATGGGCTTTGGTAATCATGTATTTGCCTGACGAGACTTGGGGGGTACAAGGGTCACAGCCAAAGGGGCTGCACTGATGTAGATCACACATGTATGTGTATGTTCCTGAGGGATGGCACACACAGCGTTGCACCAAGGCCAGGCCTCCCTCATGGTCAGCAGCTTTGTGTTCATTGCTACGTCTCAGGGTGGAGGGGTCACCACCACTGGGGCTCGGACTCAGGGCCTGGGCGCTGCCCTGAACTTTTTTTACTCGAGACTAGTGCTCTATCACTTGAGCCACAGCTCTACTTCTGGCTTTTTGGTGGTTCCTTGGAGATAAGAGTCTCAAGGACTTTCTTGCCCTGGCTGGCTTTGAATGGTGATCCTCAGATTTCAGCCTCCTGAGCAGCTAGGATGACAGGTGTGAGCCACCATGGTCTAAGGGCTGCCAGATGCCAGACCTGTGGGGTACTGAGCATCGGGGCACAGGACCTCATGCCATCCTACTGTCTTTGCTTTCCAGGGATCAGGAAGACAGACTGAGGCCTCTGCCAGGCTCCAGCCTGACCACCGCTGCCCCGCTGGGCCCCGAGGACAGAGCCACATGGCAGGAGCCCCGGGAGGCCAAGCCAGGACAATAAACTGAGCTCTTCTCCTTCCATGGGCTCTGACTTGGCACCGGCGGGGCTGGGCAGCACCTGGCAGATGGGTGTGCGGTCAGGAGAGAAGGCCACAGCCTCTGGAAAACAGCAAGACTCTGGGGTGTCATGGTTCTCTAGTCCTGCAGGCTGCCATCTGCCCCATTCCCAGTCCTCCCACGCCATCTGGCCACACCAGAGGAGCTCGCAGGGTTGGCTGGAACCCCAGGTGGACCTGGTGCAGGCAAGATGTCGGGAGCCATCACCCAGTGTCAGCCCGGCGGCCCTGGACTCCAATACGACCATCTTCCTTGTACTGGAAAGAGTTAAGCTAAATATTCTTTGAAGCTTCTTGAGTAAGAGAAGACATGTCAGCCGGGCACTAGTGGCTCACGCCTGTCATCCTAGCTACTCTGGAGGCTGAGATCTGAGGATATTGGTTGAAAGCCAGATTGGGCAGATACATCTTATCTCCGTTTAATCAGCCAAAAAGCCAAAAGTAGAGTGACTCAAGTGGTAGAGGGCCAGCCTTGAGCCAAAAAAGCCCAGGGAGGCTGCAAGGACCCTAAGTGCAAGCCCCAGTACAACCCTTCCTAAAAAAAGGAAAGAACAGGGGAAAAGGAAAGCGGGGCATGGACCAGGAGCAAGCCAGAGAAGAAGCACATGGCCTGACCACACAGGGACGCAAGTTCAATCCCAGCCCTGCTGGTGGTCACCTGGGCCCCTGGGGACCCTGGATAGGAAAGGAGGGGGACAGGGGAGTCAGGCTGCAGCCCTTGTGCCTCCTCTGCTCCCTCTGGAGCCTGCGGAGGGGCTGCCTGCTTCTGAGGGCCAGCCCCAGCATTGACCTTGGACTTCTCCCGGCTCTGACCTTGACCTCTCCTGGCTCTGTCCAGCCCAAGGGCAGTGCCAGTCCAGGGTCTAGGTACATCCCCACCAGCTTCCTGAGCTCCAGTCCAGCGTGTGGTCCAAAACTAAAGCCTGAGCCAGGCGCAGGTGGCTCACGCCTGTCATCCTAGCTACTCAGGAGACTGAGATCTGAAGATCATGGTTCAAAGCCAGCCCAGGCAGGAAAGTCCATGAGACTCTTATCTCCAATGACCACCAGAAAGCTGGACGTGGCACTGTAGCTCAAGCGGTAGAGCACTCACCTTGAGCTGAAGAACTCAGGGACAGTGCCCAGGCCCAGAGTTCAAGCCCCATGACCAACTAACTAAATAAATAAAGCCTGGGATCTTGGAGTGAGGTTGGGTAAGGAGGGGTAGGAGGGAAAGCTGGGGGTGCTGGGGTGGGGGAAACTTCCATTCCAGATCATCCTGGGCCTGTGAGAGGGACTTCTGCCCTCATCCTTGCAGAGGCAAGAATGGGGGCGGGGGGGAGTGGGCGGGGGGTAGGGGATGGGGGAGAGTTGTGTGTGTGTGATGGGATCTCAAAGCCATTTGACCGGATTGGACTGGAAGGAGGGGAGAAGCCCAAAGAGCAGCAGCAATTGCTGGTCCCTGGCTCCCGACATGCACCTGGGATCCAGAGGGTCTGTACTCGGACCCAAGCTGGGGCAGGGTCAGCCGTGGACTGAGCCCAGGAAGCTGGGCAGAGCAGGTATTGCATGAGCTGTGGGCAGGACTGGCAGGGCCGAGGGCATAGCAAGATGTCATCAAGGAGGGCACTGCCCTTGGGACCCAGCATTCCCCCAGCAGACTGGCATCTCCCAAGCTGTCAGCCAAATCTACCTCTCCTCTTGGTAGGTGGAAAGTCTGGGAGTTTACTATAATCACAGACAGCTGGCTAACTCAGTGGGCAACAGCATGCACACACGGTGAACTAACCCTGTCTTTTAGCAAGCCCTTGAAACCTGGGTTAATTACCTGGGCTTTTTGCTGGAGGACAGTGGGGAGCCATAGATGGTTTGAGCAGAGGAATGGCAGAGAGAAAGATTCATTTTAGGAAGATCACTATGGCTAGGAACGGTACACACGACTATAATCCCAGAATTTAGAGAGAACTAGGTACTGGTGGCTCATACCTGTAATCTTTGTTGCTCAGGAGGCTGAGATCTGAGAATCATGGTTCAAAGCCAGCCTAGGCAGGGAAGTCTGTGAAACGCTTATCTCCAATTAACCATCCCCAAAGAGCCAGAAGTGGATCCGTGGCTCACATGGTAGCGCTTAGCACCTGGGCCTTGAGTTCAAGCCCCAGGACTGGCACACACACACACACAAAAGATTAGTTGGGATTACAGGCATTGGATGCTCTTTTTAATGAGGGGGTGGGAGGGAAGGAGGGGGAGTGGCTGGGGGGCAGGCGGCAGGCCTTACTCCTCCCTCCCAGCCCAGGAAGGAAACTGACTGCAGGTTGGAAAGACAGAGGCAGAACAGAAAACCCCTCACGGCCCAGCTGCCTGGCTTCCAGTCCATCCACTGCTGACAACTGAGAGGGAGGGAGGCGTCACGGCTTCAAACAGCTTTATAACTACTTTTTTCATACTGGGCATATATCCTGTATACTTTTCTGTGAATTAATGATATTCCACAATAAAAATGATCTATGATCAGTAATAAGTTCCTGCCTAGCATGCAATGAAGTATTCGGTCAGATTCCTCCAACAACAAAATGAAGACAATTTAAATCATTCATGAAATAAAAGCAAAGTGTAACGCGTCAGTGTAGACACAAACGCACACACGCACACCTTTACGGTCTGCTCTGCTGTAGATGCTTTTACTCTTCATGGACACAAGAGGGGGCACTAACCAATGAGCAGCGGGGTACATGTGGGCTCCTAGCAACCAATAAAAACATTGAGGAGTTGGGTTCCTCAGAGTTTTCCCCTGATGAACTCAGGGCGGGTTCATCTGGGGACACCTGGGGTGTCCCTGACCTTTAGTGAAGTGGAACTCTTGTCCAAAGTGAGAGAGAGCTGCAGGTCTGCACACTGCAGACTGCGCCCCAGAGCTAGCTGCTTCCTTCCCTTGCCACTGTCTAATATGAATGGAGTTCTTCTCTGTAAGACTGCAAACACCTCTCAGAAGCAGAGTAAGTGAAAGAAGAGAGGGGAGAGACTGCCTCCAGCAGTCAGAGAGATCAGGTACAACCACCACCACCACAGATCCTGGAGGTTTAGGATGCAGTGGATGTTTTCAGGATTGTTGGCAAAACAGATGATAATAGGAGGTTAGTATTGGCTAAGTCTGAGCGGGAGTGGGCTAATAGTCGCTAATACATAAAGAATGCATGCGGCATTAAGAAGCTAGATCCAGCTCAGTGGTCCACGCCCGAGGCTTCCCATTCTCTGCCCCACAACTGATTTTTACACCCCTTCTATTGTCCCACTGTTTTGCGTATTTCTATAGTCTGGATTTCGAATGTTCCCTGGATGTCTCCATGGAGAAGACCTGGCCCTCAGTCTGGCAGTATTGAAAGGAGGTGGGGCCTTTAAGAGGTGGGGCTGAGTGGGAGAAGGTGACATCATTGGGTGCGTCTTTAAAGGGTCTGGAGACCTTGTCCCGTGCTTCCCTGCTCTGAGCTCTGCCCTGACCTGCTGCTCCCCACAGACCCCATTCAACGCCATCATGTGGCCATGAACTGACACCCAGGAAATAAACCTTTTCTCCTTTTGTTGTCTGAGGTATTCTGTCACAGGGTCAGAAAGCTGGCTCACACACGAGAAGAATCTGAGACTCAAAAAAAAAAAAAAAATTGGGGCTGGGAAGATGGCTCAGTGGTAGAGTGCTTGCCTAGCATGCATGAAGCCCTGGGTTCCATTCCTCAGTACCTAACATACACAGAAAAAGCCAGAAATGGCGCTGGGACTCAAGTGGTAGAGTGCTAGCCTTGAGCACAGAGAGCCTCAAGAACTGAGTTCAGGCCCTGAATTCAAGACCCAGGACCAGGAGAAATAAAAAAAAATCCTGCCTTCTTGTGGTTCAGCACCAGCCAGGGCAGGAAAATTCACGAGACTCTTATCTCTAATTAGCTACCCAAAGGCCACAAGCAGAGCTGTAGCTCAAGTGGTGGAATGCTAACCTTGATCTCCAGTTTGGCAGTCTTGGGGCAGGGCGCCTAATGGGAGGTAATCAGGAAACACAGGAATGGATGAATGCTGTCTGGGATGGTTCATTATCTCCGGAGCTGGCCTGCTCCTACCCCTCCCTGTCCTCCTGGTTTTCCTCCTTCCTCTGAGCTCCCGCCAGCTGCCAGCGCTACACACTTGGTCCTCTAGACCTGTGAGGCCAGTGAACTCCTTTCCTTTGTTAAGGAAAGAGTACTTTATAGCAGTAGAAATCAGACTCAAAGTGTGAGCATGTAGGCCTCACCCGTGGGTGTCCACCAGAGAGTGTCCAAGCTGGGAGAGGTACTGCACACCGGGCAGACGTAGTGACTCATGGCTCCACGATGCCACTGGCCGCAAGCTGCTTCCCACAGGCCTGCCTGGCCTGCTTTGAGGTTTTCTTGGTCAATGCCTGGCGGGGCTCCAGTCCCACTAAGCCAAAGGCTCTGTCCTTCCTTCCCCTCTCCTACATCTGAGAAGATCCACTTTCCAGGATCACAGGCAACATGCTGGGAAATTCTCTTCTGTAGCTACCGGGGCCACGTGACCAGCAGAACTGTGAAGAATGATCTGCCTGCGCTCAGTGCCAGTCTGGGTCCTGCTAGCTCCTCACCCGGTGGGGCTTTCCCTAGAGTTCGTGGTGGCCTCATGCTGAGGGAGGCCGGAGGCCCTGTGCCCCGATACCACCTCAGCCCTGAGCCTGACTACCCCTACTGGTGCTCTGGGAAGACCCTGTCCTGGGAAGAGCAGCCATCGGGAGCCTGGAGATGGGTCCACCCCAGCTGCACATGCTGTGGATGAGCTCTGTGTAGTAAAGAACGTTCAGATGAATTCTTTGGTGACCATGCAGGGATGGAGCACCATGCAGGGATGGAGCACTGGCCCCCAGGGTGAATCCATCCACGCGCACGTACGTCTGCC